CTTTTTATGAATAGAATAGAATAGAATAGAATAGAATAGAATAGAATAGAATAGAATAATTTATTTGGAGTGAGCTGGAATTAATCAAACACAAGCCATAAGGGAAGTATAGCAATTCTATTCCCTTTATGGTCACATTTGGTAGCAACTTTGTGACCAGAGAATGACTGGACTGGACTGGCATTTGTCAACCATCCAATATTATTCTAGCAATTTTTCAAGGCAAGATAATGGTTTCAGATTAGGCTACGCTCTCTCAGACTGCCTCTGAACAGCTGAATATATGTTTCACTATAACTGCCTCTATGACCTGATGGTTTACTGCACTGTGCCTTAAAGTGTTTATTAAGTAGGGATAATTTTATATGCATTTGTCCTCTCTAATTATAAATGTAATGCATGTTTCTCAGCATATATTGAGATTTTTGTACAGGGGTTTTTACTGCCTGTACATTGTATCCTGTCTGTAGGTTGTTAGGTAATGTATGCACTTTAATTTGTATTTTTCTGTACTGGGCTCTCAGAAATACAACATTTGTTGTTTGTTCTTGACAATCAGACCTAACATGATATATTCTTACGCAAGGTATCAATGACAACAACAGATTGTTTTACTTCCAAGCATATGTATTCAATTTACCCATGCTAGTCACATTTCTATGGTGCATTTACATTTCAGTAGCAAAATATGCAGAATAAATTCATACTTTGTTGGCTCTTTTAGAGGTGTGTTGTTGAGTGGTGTAAAATATGCATACAAATATAGGGATAAGGTATTTATATGATAACTAGTTCAAAAACCTTTTAAATTGCAGTGAATCCTTCAATCTAAAGTTTGAAAAAAATCTTATATTTTTACTATAGCTGTTGGGTAACAACTGAGCAAAATAAAACCGAGACACATTAAGACATGAGTCAACTATATAATGAAGGATTTTAACTGAAAAGTGTCCTTAATATTTTCAAATGTTAGGTTGGACAATGTGTGACATGTTTTTAATGTTTTTAAATGTATACAATTTATTAATTGCTTTTCTTTTTTTTTATTGGTTTTTGCTATTTATACTAAGGGGCTGCTGAATGCTTCAATCTGTCTGGTTTACAAACGTTCAATTTTCAGGGAAATGCACGGCTAAAGTAGTTCCAGGCAGGTCTTGATCACATTACCATGTCCATATCACTTCGCCAAACGATTTCAGTTAGGTCCTTGCAGCATACAACAGCAAAAGAAATAAAAACCTCAAAGACACTGACCCAGCAAATAAATGTAGCAAACAACAAGATAAATGACCAATTATTTCCATGTTTTTGCCACAAAATTACGTTTTATGTACAGAAAGCACATACTCCATTTCTCCCGCTCTCTCTCCCTTAAAAACCCCATGTTAAAAACACACATGACTGAAACATACACGTGCACAGAAACGTCTCGTCAGCACTGCTGTGACGTTTTTATCAGTAAAATAGTTTAGCAACCTAAAAGCTACAGAACATTTTTTCACTATTGAGGTAATAACAGCGCTGTTCTTGAAGCAGACAAACTTACAGTTTCGCTATTAGTAGAGACTCACAGGCTCAGGTAATTCACACACGCTTCGTCTCTCTCATGACTGCATTAATAACTGAATTACAATCAACAGCTCAAGCGTCCATTACATCTAAAATTACGTTTTGGAATTAGCAATGGCGTTGAGATGCGTGAGAAATTCATCCTACACACAATAAGGACAGAAACCTGACAAACGTCTTGAAATACAACATCTGAGCAATGGTAACCACACAAAGGTGTGGTAACCGCGCTATAAGTGGAATAATTGACTCCGGTCCGTTGAATTATTAGAAAATAATGCACACCCGATATGTAACGGACACTCCACTTTGCATCATCACTTCTCGGGTGTGCATTATTTTCTAATAATTCAATGGCCTGTCGTCAATTATTCATAATTGAAACTGTTTAAAGCAGGGATAACCAAACTCAGTCTTGGAGGGCCAGTCTCCCGCAGAGTTTAGCTCCAACTTGCCTCAACACACCTGCCTGTATGTTTTTAGTATACCTAAGGCCTTGATTAGCTGGTTGAGGTGTGTTTGATTAGGTGGAGCTAAACTCTGCAGGACACCGGCCCTCCAGGACCGAGTTTGGTGACCCCTAGTTTAAAGCAACTGTGTCAGTTTTTACCTTGAAATATTAGTTTCAAAATCCTTCTGATGGCACACTGACTTGTAAGGCAAATGGATTCTGTTTCTTTCTCACTCTCCCCACAAGTGTCTGTTCTGTGTGTATGTAAGTTTGGTGAGCAGGTATGAAATTCTGCGAAAAGGGCGGATTGCTTTATGGCAGCAGCAAATGCAGTTGTACAGCAATCCACAGTGAATATCTCTCACTTAACTGTAGGGGGCTCCAAATTCGCACACAACTTCATATATTGTCCACCATTGGAACATGCTGTCACAAAAAGACAATTTTGAATAAATTATTTTTTCATGAGCAATACATTTTCAATGGCCTTTTCTTTTTTTTCCTCTTTTTTTTTTGTAGTTAAGAATTTAAGGCATGAGTGTCCAATCCCTTTTTAAAGAGATTTACCTTCTTGAGCTCCAATCTTCTCCAAGGCACATATCTGGAGGCTTCTAGTAATTCTGAAGAGCTTGATGGCTGCTTCAGGTGTGTTTAATTTGGTTTGGAGATGAACTTTGTAGGATAATGGCCTTCCGGTAACTTGATTAGACATCCCTGCATTAAGGTATGTGTCTATCCACCTTTATTTTTAATGAAAGATTGGTTGCATGCAGCTATTAGTAACTTAAATGTGTGAAGCTTCCAGTGTCATTCACTTCCGGTTATTTTAGCTGTACAAAAAAGGCCTTTTATCGTGCTTGATATTGCAAACTGGTTTTTGTCATCATATTATTTTAATTATTCAAGTAGTCATAAACACATTGGCTTTTAGTGAAAATAGTTGCATTACCGTTTACTGCACTTTGTTGTTCTTGTTATTTTCATATAGTGGCTATTAATGAATCTGAAGTCTTGCACATTCACAGAAAATAGCTTACTTTCATATTGCAAAATAAAGTGGACACATAAAACTGACTTTCAAAAATAAGCCCACTAAGAGAAATATTCACTGGAGTTAAAAGTGTGACAACTAGCCCCCGTCTACCCTTTAATTGTGACAGCAGACTGATAGTAATTGATGTTAAGTTTTGTACCAAAATCAAATGACAAAATACTTCAAGATGTTTCTTATTGGTCCTAAAAATCATAAAGAATAAAAACTGGAGATGATTTATTTGACAAGTCTTTTGTCCAAACTTTTAAAGAGTATAAATCCCTGACCGAATGTTCCGTTTCACAGATCTAGTTTCAACCCTAGTCACAACGGCTCATTAAAAATGCGGCAGTATCGTCTGAAACGGAATCGTGAAAAATGGTTAAGATCTCTTCCCCATGTGCACAGAAGAGCTGAACTTCCAGAGTAGTAACTAATGGATCAAAGTAGAAGCAGCTGTTGTATCCAGGCTTTGAGCCAAGCACCCTGTGACACCTGCCAGGCAGACAGGAATATTTTCCATGGGTTTGAATCCCCGGTCACACAGCCATGGTGACAACGCACAGTCAGGGTGGGGTGGATCATCAAAGCCAGTGCCCAGAAATAGCCACTCTATTAGCTGGCTGCCTGGGTGAGGATTGTTAGAGAGCCAAGAAGACGAAAGGCCTTTGCTAACGGTCACAGTTATCACTGTGTGAAAACTGTCCCGTGTAGTGAAGAGCTGTGAGTCTGAACTCCCTCCACATCCTAGTACATATAACTGTCGTCCTCCTATTATCCTCTCTCTCTTGATAATGTGATCGCTGGATCAAAGCAAGATGGTGGCTGTTCTGTCCAGACTGTTCTCAGTCGTTTATTAGAATATCAGCAGTTGCAGAGGAGACTTAAGACTATGAATCTTCTTGAAATTGCAATGAAATAAATCTATAACACTGCAGATTTTTAAGACCCTATCTACCCAATTCATTGCCTTAGCATGATGAAACTTTCTAACTTTAAGGCCCCTCATTGTCAAAGTCAATATTAGAGACCACCCTGAAAAAAAACGTTTTTTTTTTTTCTTTTTCTTTTTCTTTTTCTTTTTCTTCTTCTTCTAGTGAGATGATTACAAAAACATGAGCTTGTTTTCCGGTTGTTTTTTATGAACAGAAACTAGAGCTGTATACGCTCAAATAATCATGTAGAATCATTAACAATTAACTTTTTTAAAGGAAAGAAACCTAAATAAGTGTTGTCTTTTTTTTCTTTTTTTATGTTGTCTTTTCTATTTTTTTTTCTAACAACTAAACAATCGTTTTAAAGGTACCTCAAGCAAATGTTTCTGATGAATTTCCCAATATAAAAATTTTAGATTTTAGACCATTGTTGAGGGGAAATTTAAACCTTGCTTATTATCCATAGTAGGAAATTCAATGCACCACTCATGCATTTTATCAGATTTTGCTGATTAAAAAAAATAATTATAAGGTAACTTTATTTTGAGGCCCCCACCAAAAAAAAACAAAAAAACATTGGTAGTTTACTGAGGTCATCTAGTAAAACTGCTCCTGTGTGAGAACTAATCTAAATTCACTGTAGACCGTTACCGCCTCCTAGTGGACGATTCTGGCAAATCTGGCATTGAAAATACTCCGAATGAGTCGTGATTAGGATGTTAAAAACAACTAAATGGACGAGTAAGCAAATAAAAAGAAAAAAAAATAAATCAGCATAAACCACTTAACAAACATGGTTAATGTATGTAGTAAAACATCTGCATAGTATACAAAATTATCAACATTTAAAAAAAAAACTGTTTTAATTTACTATTTTTATATTCATTTTAAACAAATTTTCTTTCTGACTAAAAGGCTAATTGAAAAATAATATTTTACATATGCTCCACAATTAAGAATTAATAGTAATAACATTATAATTAATTTTAATATTATTTACAGAACCCATACCTCATAGACAATTAGTGTTACACTGGTCACCTGAGGTGAAAAAGTCATATATATTGACCAAAGGAAACATAGTCACCGCCCCCAACATTGAGCCCAACTGCACTACAGCTCCACACCACACAAGAGCGCTGTGGCCTTCATCTCGCAAGATGACAGCAACAATCACCTTTACATAAGATAGGATGAAGATAAAAAAGAACCACGCCAACACCTGAAAACACAGGATTACTCAGTGTGAATATACAAAAAGAAATAATAAAATAGATCAAGCAAAAAATGCTTCTTACATTAGAAATAAACACAAACAGGTCCCAAGTACTCACAATAATGACGGCTCCAGAGGTCTCATTGACTAGCAGTGGACATGGACTCATCATAGCCATGCCCATAATGTAAACTCCAATAAGAGAGCCAATGGAAGTGAGAAGTCCCATCAACACTAAGGACCTGTTCAGAATGCAACAAAGTGTTAGTGTTGAGTAGTAAGTTAAAGGGTTAGTTCACCCAAAAATGAAAATTCTGTCATTAATTACTCACCCTCGTGTTGTTCCAAACCCGTAAGATCTTCGTTCATCATGAACGTGCGTCCACAAGTGACGCAGTAGAGGCGAAAATGTGGAATAAAGTCGTTATTTTTGTTTTCTTTGTGCAAAAAAGTATTCTCGTAGCTTTGTAACATTACAGTTGAATGGAACAACACGAGGGTGAGTAATTAATGACAGAATTTTCATTTTTGGGTGAACTAACCCTTTAAGTATGTTTATAGCCATTGTACCTACAGTATCTATTTATCTACCCGTCCACCCATCTATCCATCTATCCATCTATCTATCTATCTATCATCCATCCATCCATCTATCTATTTTAAACTTTCAGATTATGCTTTCTCAAGCCAACATTAAAGTTTATTTGCAAACTTTACTCATCTAGTTAAAATATATAATAAATGTTTTTACATTGTTTTAATGTAATTAATTTTTGTGATGGCAAAGCTGAATGTTCAGCAGAAATTTCAGTGTCACATGATCCTTCTAATATGCTAATTTGGTGCTCATTAGGCCAGGATTTAGTAAACACAGTTCAAAAGAACAGCATTTATTAGAAAATGATTTTTTTTTAGGCAAAAGTATTTATTATCACTTTTGCTAAACTAAATAAAAAATAGTAATTTCTTCTTCAAAAAATGAATAAATAAATAAATAAATCTTCCTATCATCCATCCATCCATCCATCTATCTATCTATCTGTCTGGCAGGAATTGAAATTAACTTTTTCACTCACCTCACATTGCGTATGCACGCCTCTGTAGGTGTGTTTTGTTTAGCTTTTGCAATATACTCGATAATGTCATGATGTTTCACGAGTTCAGTATTTGCGCTAAACCTGCGCAGATTTGGCCTGCATGAACTTCCCCAAGAAATTAATGAGTGAACATAATTTACGAAAAGTAACCCGTCAAATTGGCTAGTGATTTAACAGCGTTACCCGCCACAGCTGATTTTTACCCGCATTTGGTGGGTTGGCGGGTGTTAATTTCAAACCCTGCTGACCAGTGATAGGCCTGGTCTCCGTATTGTAAACATGAGTACGACTGCACTGACGGCAAACCGGTATTAGTCAGAGTGGTCACCCATGCCAGGATAATGTAGATGTATATCACTTGCATCCATGTGTGCTTCCCTGTCCCAAATGTGCTCCTGGGCTTCTGAATAGCCTTTCCAAAACGCATCATTGGTTTCTGTTCAGATTTCTTGTTTTTCCAGCGCAGTATGGAATCTCCATTTCCATTTATGTTATTGGGACGCTCATGCTTCACAGCTGGATGGTATTTCAAAAGTATGAACGCCACCAAACAAACCACCATCATAGCCATCAGGAAGAAAAAATAGTCTTCAACTGAAAAGATAGCTGGTTGGTAGCGAGGCACAAAGTAGTTAGCGTCTCTTTCAGATCCGTTAAGATGTGTTTCATTGGATTTGAGATGCATTGACACATTCCACCACACCTACACCTTGAACCATCGCCACTAAAGCTGGGACAAGACCACTCAGGCCTTCTCCTACATAGTAAGTCATGAGATACTCCGCCTTGAGCTGCATCATGAAGGGAAGGAAAGTCACCGAAGAGGTGCAGTCCACTATTGGGATAAAGAAGATGAGGAGCAGGAGAGGAACGCTGCGCTCCACACCTTGCACCACTACCGTCTCACTCCAGAAGAAAGCCAGGAAAAGGCTTGCAAGTATCCCGAAACCAACAATAAAATAGATAACTGCAGTTTCGTTGAGCTTTCCTGGGTGGAAGCGGTGCATTAATGTGACAAACAGAGGTCCGATGTTGGCCAGTTGAACAATAATGGAGATGTAGGAGGGAAGATACCAACCCTCAGGAACCTGTGGAACGATTAGAGGCAGCTCCACCCACAGACCACAGATGGTGACCCAGGAGCCCATGCCAAACAGGCCAGCCAAAACATGGGTGAGGATAGACATGGCCATGGTGATTTAGATCAACATCCCTCAGACTTTGTAGCCTTACTGTCTTCAGAAAATACAAATGATTACAGTAAAGTTAGTAACCAAGAGAATTTCGTTCAATGACAGACATTATTTTTGCAGTTCTACTTGGAGCCACTTTATCTTTAAATTCCAAATTTGGTGCAGTCAAGTTTATTTATTCAGCTGTAATGTTAGAGAAGACTCAGCATGATGTCCTTGAGCAAGACATTTAATCCAGGGGCACTCCAGGGGATTGACCTTTCAGTCAGTGCACTTAAACTTTGGATACGAAGCATCTCCTAATATAAAGTTATTTAGTAACATCTGCTGGAGCATTGTCTTACTAATTCTTTGATGTCGTGCCAATGTATTTAAGGAACAAAGTCAGGAAGATTGTGCTTATTTGCAGAAAGCCTATCAAAGTACAAATTAGAGTTCAGTTAGCAGGGGGTTTGCAGGGACCCTAGTTGAGATCATGAAAATGGGCCCGACTGGTGTAAAACTGTCATAGCAATAAAACTATAATCATATATTTACACACACACATATATATATATATATATATATATATATACACACACACAAACATATACATATATATACAGTGTATATATTTTATATTAATTTTTTCACATTTTGTTATGTTGCTGCCAGTTTAACAACTGCTTTAAATTTTCCACATCCCATATCAATCTACACTCCATACACCATATTGACAAAGCAAAAACAGAATTGTCACAACTTCGCAAATTTATTAAAAATAAAAAAACTGAAATAAGTACATTGCATAGGTATTCATACCCTTAACTAAATATTTTGCTGAAGCACCTTTACAGTCTCAAGTCTTTTTTGTTTGATGCGACAAGCTTTGACCATCATCATTTGGCAATTATCTGCCATTCGTCTCCTCACCTCTTCACCTCTCAAATTTATTTGATAAGTAATTTTGTATTGTAGTGTCAGAGGCATCATTTTTGAGGTGGCACGAATAAAATGGTGGCACCATTTTCTAATGGTGTCTAATGTTTTATTCAGCAGGGGTTATATATTTTTTTTAATATTCCCAAAATATATCCTGAAATATCTCGATTCTCAAATATGTGCAAGTAAATGCATTTTGCACCTTTATAGATTATGTTAGTTCTCCAGTAAAGTAGCCTAATAGTATTAATCTATTAACTTTGCATAAAAATTCGTCTTTTTACTTAAGTACCAGATATAGTGTCATACTATTAAATATATTTAATACGACTTACTTTGTATTTAATGTGAAGTTAATAAAAACATAGTAAGTTACTAATTAGCCTATAACACTTTCATTGTACAAAAAGAGAGCAAAGAACGTTTACACTATCAAAGAACATTTTCACTTCAGTCCAGCGAATTCAAGCACTCTCAAACTCCCATAATAATCTCTAAAGCTGTTTACACTGTAAAATTAATATATTACTTACATTCGTACATCTTCACTTTGTTGTTTCTGATGAGATAATTTGCCAGAGATTGCAGTCAGGCAGCGCGCGCAGTGACGAGACAGCGTGTTTCAGCGGTAACTCACCTGAACGCCTCTTGATTGGTCTTTGTATTCATAAACTCAACATAATAGTATGGGATTGGTTATAATGTGCAGCGCTTTAAAAACGTGTGTGTCTCTGGCTCTGTGCCAGCCAGCGAACGCAGATTTGAATTTAGCTGCTGGAGATGTTTTTTTTTTATATATATGCATAGTTTACAGGACAAACTGCGCATTTCACCCAAAATTGTTTGGTGTGATATGATTCCAAATTTAGGGGGGGCCAAGCTTGTTGGCAGGGGGGCCATTTTGGAGAATAACCGCTGAACGCAGGCAGTTTACGCTCTTCTGTGTCAGCCGCGACACAAGGATACGTTTTCTGCATGTATTTACACTTTGATTTGAATGAAAACAGCGCATCCGTGCAGCGCGGCTGACACAGAAGAGCGTAAGCTGCTTGCGTTCAGCGCATATTCTCCAAAATGGCGCTATGCATTCTTCTGGCACTGTCATTTGAAAGGCTATTGTTGGCTTAGGTCTGTTTTTATAACCACAAAAAAATATCATCTTAATACTTCTTTGTAAATTATTAGCCTATTTGAAGTAACAAAACCATGGTTAATTTGCTGTTACAAGAACCATGATTTTTGGTTTTATTTGTGTTAAAACCATGGCTAATTTTCGTAAGGGAACATGGAAACTCAGAGAGAATATTAGATTCGTTGGTGGTGTCTTTTCACGGGCGTAGCTGTCCATCAATTATGATCATTTGCATTCAGCCGCAGACATGAGGTGCGAGCCGTAGCGGGAATGGCGCATCACGGTTTTTTTTATTTATATTAAATAAAAAATTTTTGAGCAACTGGGATGGTGCCCCCGGGAGTTGGTGCCCTACGCAAACTGCGTCCACAATTAGTCTGCAATTAACTTTTGTCTCCTGTCATAGTAAACAGCCCTTTTATAGGCTACAGTGCGGTTATACAAAACTTAATTGTGATTATTTTTGTCATATGCAACAAACATACTGATCATACAGACTACCTAGCTAGCATGCAACGTTTGACAGATGCATTTTTTAATTTACAAGTAAAACAAAAAAAATAAGAAAAAAGATTGGTATAGCCTATGTGACAACTGACAGATACTCACATGATCTGAGGCTGATCATATGGAGACAAAATTCTGACCTGTACAATGAGAGAAATGTCTTATATCCTCTGCATGAGTGGGTGTGACTATTCTAGCCAACCATGGCACCTGTCTGTTGATGTTTTATCAAGGGAAAAAAATTAATGTGTAATTTGTAGATCATTTATTACAATGCAGGTATATAATTCAGAATAACATTAATCATACATTTGTTAATAAAAATGCAACACTAAAATTCGTATTTTGGGGATAAAAACATCATCAGTAAGCAATGAGAGCTGTTTCCTTATGTACATTCTGGCAGGAAATGTAACAAAAGTTTCCTTTGCTAAGCAGGTCAATCACAGCTTCAGTGAAAGTTTAACTATAACCATTATATTACATAAGAATGTAGGAAAAAAGTGACTACAATACAACTGCTGATGCCAAAAAACCATTAAATTACTTACAAAGCTCTGAAATCTTATAACAACGGCACATAAAAAGTGCGTAAGAACATGTGAACAATTAAAAACAGCATATAACTTCTATGTGAGAAAAAAATCTCTATATTTAAAAGGCAAAGAGGCTGAAAATATTATATGGCATCATAGACGTCAGGAATGCAGTTAGTGCTCAACACATATCTCCAGCTCTCATAAAACTAAATCTGATTTAAGCCCGGTTTCTAAAATATAAATTCTGAATGTATGCAATTAGTGCCAATAATAATTAGTGCTAAATGCCAAAAAAATTACACACAACAATTTTTTGAAAATGTTGATAAATGTCACAAAAGTAAGATAACAGCAGTTGCCAAATGAGATTAACCTTAATTAAAATACTGGCCTCGCATCTAAAATATTCAAAATCAAAAGGGTAAAACATGGCAGCATCACACATGGCAGATAAGTTAGACGTATTGTCGATAGTACATTTAGACTCTGTATGTACATTAAAACTAAAATTTTAAACTAAACAAAACCAGATATTCAGCAGACAAAGTTGAGTGTTTAAATATAAATCCAGAAATACTGGAATGTGATAATATACATTTTTTGCTTATGGTCATCAAAACGCAATTTCATCTTGGAGTCATACAAAGCATAGTTATTCCAGTTAGGAACAATATAAACTTACCTGATTTGCATTCATCAACAATTTAACAGTTTGCTGTTGGGAATAAACGAAATACTGTGTATAATTATACACAGATGAAGCATATAGTATAAGTCTACTCATTAGATAGTGAATATTGTAGTTACAGATTGCTGACTTCTGATTTCTGGTCTAAACAATTGCTGACATGCTGACACTGAGGTTTTCCATTATGAAATCAGACCTGCTCTGATTTCCAACCACAGATGTCTTGTCTTGTTGCATGAAAACACTTCTCACTTAATCTAGATCAAGGTCATGGTGTTCACACACACATTCAAAGTAACGTGATGCATCAACCACATATTCTTTACATTCTCAATGTTCCATCGGGTAACACAAAGATATGCAATGTGATCAAGTGCAACTCTTTTTGCATTGACATTAACTTGAAATGTCCTGTGAAGGCATCAGTTTTACCATCTTTTTCCATTTTAGATTCACACCTAAAGCTGTTGTATAAAGGCATGGGGTGAATGTAAAATCAAGTGCTGCAATATTAACTGCAGTTGTCTGTGCAGTCCTGGGCTCGCTGGAAGACCTGGTACACACTGACTAAAGGGAACATCGTGAGTGCTCCAATAAGAGAGCCAGCCTGGATGAAGACTCCACACCAGAGCAAAGCTGCATGCCCTGCTTCATGAAGCAGAGTCCCAACTACAACCTTCAGGTAAGAGAACAAGCCAGTGAAGATGATCCAGGATATGATCTGAATGAAGAAAAATAACAGACTTCTGTTAAAAAACTAAACCTAATGCGAATTGTAATTTAATAGAATTATTTATATACTGTATTTACATATAATTTGTGTATTATGTGTGGTGACTGAATGGGTGACTTTGTGATCAGGAATATTTTTTTTTATTATAAATCAATAATTAAAGGAAAAAAGAGGTCTATTGAGCATCATTGGCACGTTGTCATTTACCCTAGAAAATCTTTAATTATAAAATTTAACGTCTGTGTGGAGATGTGCTGATATCGCGTTTGGTCTCATTCTGTATCGTGCACATTTGGGCGGCATTATGCAAATATTTCCACATAGTGAGGTAGACATGTGGGGGCGTGTTAGAACGAGCCGTTTTAGGGGGGCGTGGCAGAGTCTTAACTTTGATAAAGAATATCTCTTTGGTTTCGAGACTTTAGTCTTTGCAACTTCAGGGATCTTATCTATGCACAATCAGCTTGTAACACTCCAAAGAGAAAGGAAAACTTGAAATCGCATCATATGACCCCTTTAATACTACAACTGATTGCTTCTGTTGTCCTCATTTGTAAGTCGCTTTGAATAAAAGCGTCTAATAAATGACTAAATAAATAAATAAAAGACTTCCACTGCACACAACTACTAAAATAAAAGGATTTGATGACTCCAACACATTATGATTTTTTTCTTTGAAATATTGCTATAATGACCCCTTTTCACAATATATATTTTTCAAGCATCTTAACAATTATCTGAACTTTTTCTTTATCAGATCTTTAGAGATAATACGATAATGAAACAATGAAACAGAGTGGGGTGAATACGCTAAACAGTTGCGCCACTTTTGCATGTGATAGCTCAGTGAAGTATGCAGCACTTTTAACATTTTGAGAGATTAGTTCTTAGTTCCTCTCCCACTTAGTAATGACATAGAGTTACTAACCACAAGAGCAACGCCAGATTGACTTCCTAAAAGTGGTGGACAGGGACTCAGCGCAGCCAAGGCCATGAGATAGGCAGCAAAAATACAGCCTCCCAGTGACATCATACCAAGACCAATGCTGGACCTATAATGAAACCATCAAATTCAATTCTAAAAATTCAACTCAATTAACAACACTTATACCACACAATAATATGACAAATTGTACATGAGCAGAATTTAAATCAGGGGTGTCCTAACTCCTGAGTGGTCCTGCAGGGCCACTGCCCTGCAGAGTTTAGCTTCAACTTGCCTTGACACACCTGCCTAGTAAGGCCTTGATTAGCTGGTTCCGGTGTGTTTAATTGGGGTTGGAGCTAAACTCTGCAGGACAGTGGCGCTCCAGGAGCAGGTTTGGACACCCCTGATTTAAAGTAACAGGACCACTAAGCATCAAGAACTTTAACTCACTTACCTAAGTAGGACAAACATGGCAACAAAGCAGACCAGAGGGTTTGCAATGTTGCCCAAGACGACAGAGAGGTGAAAGGTCATGGTGCCATAAGGCAGACAGGCGAAACTCTGCACGGATGGCAGCACACCGTTGGTCAAAGCATTGGATATTCCCAGCAACAGGAGCAGATATATATTGCGTGATGTCCAAAAGGCCACAACAGGTGCTTGTTTTTCAACTTCAACTTGTTCCTCAGAAACTGGGGAATCTCCATTTTGTAAAGGGTGTGTCTCTTCCTCCGTTTTCACTGTTTCCTGCTCAGTCTTTTGAACTTCCTCTGCTGTAGTCAGAGTGACCACTCTGTATGTCAGAGCCAGGAAACAGAGGGCCGAAATTGCTAGCATCACAGACAAGAACCAGAAAAAGTTTTGGGCTGGGAAGTTTTCTTTGAGATAGTGGGGCTTTGTGCCGTTGGCCGTCTCACTGCACTCTAGTTTCCCTACACCCTGCCCCAAAGCGACCACACAGGGAAAGAGTGCACAAAGACCCTGTCCGACAAAGAATGTCCGGATGTATTGCGGGGGGTAACGGAACATGAAGGGTAAGAAGGTGACGTTGGAAGTGCAGCAGACAAATGACAGGATAAAAGTAAGCAGCAGGAATGGGACAGATCTTGGCTCTCCAGCAACTGTGACCACCTGGGACCAAAAGAGAGCAAGAAACACAGCTGCAACCACCGCTAGCACTTGTATGATGTGGATGACCATGCGTTCATTCAGCCATCCTGGAGCAAAGTGGTGGGTTAAAGTCACAGCCACTGGACCCAAATTCCCAAATGCAATCAGCACTGAAAGATAGGCTGGCAAGTTCCACTCTGTAAAGAAAGAACATGTTTTAAGTTCTACAATTATCATGATAAATACAGCATCTACTAGGTACAGCTGTGGCACGTTAAAGTTTTATTAAAACAAGTTTTTATGTTCTTAAAACACTATTTACCTTCAGGTAGAACACCTACAACAACCGGCAACTCAACCCATAATGAGTTCACAGAGATCCATGAGCCCATTCCAAACAGGGCCACCAGAATATGTGTAACGATGGCATGATTCCACCATGTATCTGCCATTTATATGTCTAAGAAAAGGGCACAGTTGAGTTAGAGCATCCATGATTTTAATAGGACAAAATAATAAACTTATTTCCTTTGACTGTATTGAAGGAATAGAATAGTCCAAGTAAATGGCTTTCCTCATGCTAAACTGTGTCATCTGATATGGACTGAATTAAAACTAATAAATGTTAATGACTTCTCACTTTCTCAGTGATGATCATCACTGAAATGCTTGTTCAACAGTCAGTGCTAAATTTTCAGTGTTCACTTATATACAGCAAAGAGATATAGCAATGAGATAAAATAACACTATTTACCTTCAGGTAGAACACCTACAACAACCGGCAACTCAACCCATAATGAGTTCACAGAGATCCATGAGCCCATTCCAAACAGGGCCACCAGAATATGTGTAACGATGGCATGATTCCACCATGTATCTGCCATTTATATGTCTAAGAAAAGGGCACAGTTGAGTTAGAGCATCCATGATTTTAATAGGACAAAATAATAAACTTATTTCCTTTGACTGTATTGAAGGAATAGAATAGTCCAAGTAAATGGCTTTCCTCATGCTAAACTGTGTCATCTGATATGGACTGAATTAAAACTAATAAATGTTAATGACTTCTCACTTTCTCAGTGATGATCATCACTGAAATGCTTGTTCAACAGTCAGTGCTACATTTTCAGTGTTCACTTATATACAGCAAAGAGATATAGCAATGAGATATAAAATGTACAGTATATAGCAAATGTAAATTTAAAATATTAAAACAAAAATCGGTTTAAAATATATGTATAGATACATATAAAAAGAATAATTGCTTTTTTAATTAATTTCCTGTTTTATATTTGAAAATTTGCTCTGCGTAAATGAATAGTACTCCGCAAGCAACAGAAAAATGAGATGCTGCAGGCCTTTTGAACTGTTGGAAAGAAAAAGCCACATGTAACACTGGCTGAAAAAAAGTGTGAAATGGAAAAATAAATTAAATATTGGACGGTAAAAAAAAAAAAAAGAGTATGGATGGATGATTCTAAGGTCTGTACCATTTTAATAGCTTTAAGTGGAGGATTCTTTAATGAACAGAAAATTTAAAAACCATCATTTATTTCAAATATACGTATTTATAACATTATAAATGCTTTACTGTACTTTTTCTCAAATTAATGCATCCTTAGTGAATAAAAGGACATTTTTTAACAAAACATCAATTTCATAGTGATTCCGAACATTTATATAATATGTACATATATACATATACATAAGATTATATAAATATATACTATATATGCAATACAGTATGTAAAATAAATATAATGTAGTACATTATCAATAATAATAATAATTATTATTATTATTATTGGTGGTAGTAGTAGTAGCAGCATTGTTATTTAATAAAAGTCAGGACAAGTAGATTGCTACAAACATATTTATTTTGTAATGCAACTTCTATAAAAAACAAATATTAAAGAAAACAATTAACTATTTTGATACTAATGAGTCTAGTAATCTCTTAGGTTTAAGAGAACAAGCATGTTAGTAAGAGAACATCTGAGAACAAAGATCTTTACCATATGTGAGAAAAAACAACAACAAGAAACTAATGCAAATAGCATGTATTCAACATTTTCATCAGTTTAAAAAACAATCAGAGAAATTCCAAGTTCTCCCTCTAACAAGGGCCAAAAACCTTTGTTTTCTTTATATCAATACTGCTCCTTTGTTGCGATTGCTGACCAGTGGCTGTGCTTTGGGGATCTGGGGATGATGGTTAGGTCGGGGTCTCTTGAATCTCAGTGTGATCAAGCACATTTTCAGATGGTGATGTAATTATAACTCTCTCATTTGGCAAGACATCCTTCAGAGTAGAAACCATGTCATTCAAAGAGAACCATATGTGATTTAGCTTTTTGTCTCTGGAACCCAAGATGCTCTTTTGGTAGTTCAGCTCACAGCGAATGACCTCACATATATGTGCATGGCTTGCACCTTCTAGTTTTGTGCGCAATCGTTCAACGTCTTGCTTGCTTTTACATGGGCCTCCATATTTTGAAACTGCTCCAACAATCATTTTCCTATAAATGTGATCCTGAGCTTTTTGCTTTAGTCTAGACACCTTCATTTTTTTTGCGGCATTGAGATTTGCTCCGTCAAAGATGGAGTAGCGTTTTTGAATGGGTTTGGCAGGGTATAATGTGACTGCTGCTGATTTAGGTTCATCTGTTGTCATTCGGGAAGCAGGTTCTTGTTCTGCATTTTCGGAAGCGGAACCCTCAGTCTGACCAAGTGTTTTATCAGGCCTGTTCTTCTCATAAGGGTATGCATGACCAAAGGGGTACTCACCCATCAGCTGTGAAAATGTGCAGTTTGCCATTTGAACGGCTATATCTGTAGGCAGATCTTTGCAGTGTTTGCCACCAGGTAAGAAATCTTTAAGATTGTCCTCTAGTACAGCTGCGAGGGCTTTCATCATCCTCTGTAAACAAGTTTTTATCAGAGTACCGAACTGGTTCTCTGCATTATCACGGCAAAATCTGAACACTCCTTCAAAAATCCCCTCTTGCATTGGAACCTGTAAGAATACATTCACAAAGGCTTCTGGTTGCAAAAGGCAACTTGCATCTTGCGACCATTCCAAGAGCTTTTCGTATAGGCAAAGGATGTATCTACTGAAAAGAGGATATTCCCCATCACTTTTCAGAAGCTGCCAAAAGGGTCCCAAGACTTTAAGGTAGATAACAGCAATCACACAGACCAGGGCCTGCAAAGCCTCATCGTTTGCATCAGCATTGACGCTCTCCAACAGGATATTCGAGTCGTCGTTCAGAAGCTGCAAGTCAGATACAAACAAAGCAACATCTTCATGATGTTGAAGGAGTCCAGCAGCTGCTTCAAAGTAGTTAATGACACAATTTGACCTATAAATAGGCAGTCTGGAAGGGTTTTTTCTTTCGAGGCAAAAAGCAAGCCAGTGCTTGCGGTAATTTGGGTTGGTCTCCTCGCTTGGACATAACATTTCAGAAGCCATGTGAATGTAACGGGTCACGGCGCTCTCATCGAAGTTGACAAAACTCTGAAATCTGGGGTGCTTGTCGCGTCCGAGTTTCTCACCTGTGGTGTTCATGATATCTTTTTCGAATGATATCATTTGCTGTTCAATTACATCAATGAGTTCGAAAAGGAATTGGCAGATGTAACGCAGGAAATTCAAAGGTGACACTAGTGGATGGGTGCTTCCTTTGACTTTGTCATCGAGGGTTCTTAGGTTAGCATCTTCCTTCAGCATTGCAGAGAAGTGATTTTGTAGCAGATCCATTGAAACCACCTTAGCAGCTTCGTTCTTTCCTCCATACATGACTGCAATCTTTTGCCAAGACAGCACAGAGATATCAAGAAGCGTTACATTGTCACCCGTGTCAGTTCTTGGGTCTTCTTCCACATCTCCCAGTGACCGCATTGGTGTTTGATGGCTCTGTGATCCCTGTTCCCTTTTTACACTGAATGGTGTAACATGGGGCATTTGCTTGGGTACATGCTGATTTTTCAGAGTCACATCTGTCTGCGAAATACGGAAGGGTTCATCTTCCTCCTTGACCGCAGAGATAGGTTTATGCCTGGAAATGCGCCTTTTCTTCCTCAGATGTGCTTTGATCATTGCCACCCTCCTGTATTCAATATCATCAGCATCAGCTTCAGGAGCAAGATCAAATGGACTCTGAAGAAACTCATCCAGCAATCCACGGCTCCTCTTTCGGCTCCTCTGATTGTTGCGGTACTGTATTCGGAAAGTTTTGAGACTTGACCGTAGGAGCCTATAGGCTCGTTGGATCTTGCCATCACTACAAAATAAAGGCTCAAAGTTACGAATCCAGGACACCAAGACGACAGGGTCTAATTTCTCTCGTGAAATAAAATTAGTCAATTCGAGAACTAGACCGTTTGTGAGACCAGTTAATTTTGCACGATCAGAAAAGTCCGACATTTCAAGTAAATCTCTTCTTCCGATTCCGATACTATCACATATAGGTCCAACAAATTCAAAGTTGACATCCGACTCAAGAAAGTTCTGCCTGGCATCTCCGGTTAAGCTTAAAGCTGTCGTGGTGTTTCTTTCAATCAAGCTTTGGAAATCAGCAGACTGAAACATTGGGATAATCTTTTGGAGCCACTGAATTAAATCAACCCATGAAATTTCTTGCTCCTCTCTCATCAGCCCAATCTGAACCAACATGCGGATTTTCCAGGGCTTTTCATCCAACTCCAACAGGTCTCCATAATGAGCACCAAGGAAGTCGTCAACAAGCTTGGAAAAAATATGATTCCCTCACACAAACTTCCCAGAATACTGAGTTGTTGGTTACAGTTTACTTCCTTTTCAATTAGATTTTTAATAGATATTTATTTATTTGTGGAAAATACTTTGTCATTTAAAGTATAAGTATGTTTATTTTACACATTTATTTTTTTAATCCATTTTCAAATAATTTAAAATTTCTTAAATATTAAAGCTGCAGTCTGTAAAGTTTGCCTCTTTGTCGCTATCTCTGTTTGAAAACCTGGAATTGCAGTTACTTGCGGAATTATCTAGCTTGCGTGGGTTGTACTCTGACACAGCTCCAGCGCGGATGAATCTAATGTTTTGAGGAGTATGTGTGGCAGTCAGTCACCGCACCGGTGTGAATCC